CTCTAGAATTTCAATTGAGGTAGCAAAGAGGATGCAGAATCGAATTTAATATTAGAATATATTAGATATTAGATATTAGATGATACCTCATATTAATTAGATGACATTAGATGATATTAATATTCTGTGTTGTTAATGCCACCTATAGAAATTTGTATTCAATTTATTTTACTATCTTTAATAAATTACTATTTATTTTTTGGCCCATGATGAAGAAAAGTGTTATTTTAGTTGTTTATATATATATATATAGTATTTACAAAAATTTTGAATTAGCTTTTATTTAATATTTTCAGTTTTCATTTACATTTTTTAAAATTAATTTTATTTATTTAATTTTGTTATGTGCTTTTGTCATGTATATTTATTTCAGTTTTATATTTCTTTTCAGTAATTTTAGTACTTTAACTTATTTGTATTGCTTATTTTCATAAGCTTTTTTTGTTATTTTTCATCTAATATAAATATCCCAGTACTTTAGTACTGTACATTTAGTTCTGGAACTAAAGCGGTGCGAAAGGCCCTATAGTGACCGTCAGATAGGGAACTGCTGTGTCCTATGGCAAACAAAATAAATATTACATAAGTAATGATTAAATGATCACAGACATTTTATTCACTTTAAGATTTTAAAGTGTAGTTTTAAAGTAGTTGGACTAATACCTCAAATCATATAGGTTGATTGATGCTAATAGTATAAATTATCATTTTTTATTATTATTATTGTATGGTGGATAAAAACAGCCAAAAAAATAAATAAATAATAAAATAAAATCCCATATTTTAAATAAATGAAGATTTGAACTATAGAGACAAGAGTATCATAGAGGCATGTGGGTGGGCTCTTTTGATTTGGACCACATTGTATCTACCCAAAACACCCTAGCAATGTGGTAAATGCCCTACAGAACCTTGACAATGCTCTAGAAACCATCCACAACATCCTAAGTGTGAGTTTTGAATGTGCATCCTTTAAATATGTAAAAATCTAGTGTTTAAATCACATTGTGCTATATATATATACACATGACTTATGAGGTAGCCTATACAGTATAAGGCAATCAGTAACCCACAGTAAAGCCTTTACAAATGAATTGCTGTGGCCATGCGAAAAGAGAAAGCGAAAAGTTCGACTAATTATGCAGCTGTCTATAACAGTCCACCGCTTTACCTTTTGTTTCCCTTTCCAGGGTGAATAAAAAGCCCATAATGTGGGCTTTTAAAAGAGACAATTTAGCTGTCACACATTTACCAGTCACACATCAACCAGTCAATTATGAACCATCAATCATTTCAAAAGAGCACAATCACGTCTGCTTTTAGTGGAAAGAAACACACATATACAATCGCTCCAAAAAGTATTCAATCACCTAAGCTGCACTTAAAACGTATGAATGACATTACAATATGTAACAAAACGTCAAACCAAGTGACATTAACTTAAAAAAAAATATAAAAAAACGGCAAAAAAAGCAAAACATTTAACAAAATATGTACAATCATGTCTGCTTTTAGTGGAAAGAAACACACATATACAGTCGCTCCAAAAAAGTATTCAATCACCTAAGCTGCACTTAAAATGTATGAATGACATTACAATAACACACAAAACGTCAAACCAAGTGACATTAATTAAAAAAAAAAAAAAAAAAAGCAAAACATTTAACAAAAAGAATGTCCTTCAGGTTTTGGTACATGTTTTTTTATGAAATCCTTATTGATTTTTATAAACTAAACATAAGAACTTTGATATTGTTAGAAGTATTTGAAGATGAATGTTACTGGACTGAAGCAACTTCTTGTTCTTATGTTCTGTGTGTTTTGTTTCATTTTCATGGACATTTCGTTTGTTTTACTCAGTTACCTCTGGCTACGTTCACACTGCGAGCCAGTGCGCAATTCAGATTTTTGCACAGATCCGATTTTTTTGTATAGCTGTTCACATTGTTGTTTTAAATGTGGCCAATATCAGATTATGAACAGGGTTTCCAGGTTTTCACAACAAAATCCGCCCAATTGCTTCTCAAAACTAGTCCAAAACTAGCCCAATTATGTGCTGGGGGTTATATATCGCGTTAGTGGGGTTGCTTTAACCCACGGAGTTGAAAAACAACCAGTGGAAACGATGAAAAAGTAGCCCAATTCCGTGTGAAAACTGTGGACTTGGCAACACTTACGCTGTCATACGGAAGTCTTTTGCTGAAAAAAAAGTACACACTTTTGAGTGTGCAGTAGAAGAGTAGGCAAGCTTTGGAACATACTATCTCGTCATACAACTTAACCATTTAACGGTCCGCTTTGTCGCATAATTACACGCATCCTGTCACTGTAAACTGGCCTTGTCACTCATCTTGTCACAGTTAACATCCTCCACATTTCATTTAACTTCCTACCGTATTGGAGAGAAATGAAGTAGCACGTTGATCTGCCAGCCGTGGGTCTCTTTATGCAGAGAACTCTGCTCATATTTTTTGCGTAATGATGCATTTAAAAGTTAATGGCCAAACGGATGTTTATAAAAGTTAACATTGTTGCTGTAGATGAAATATCCTAACACAGATAACATTAAATACATTTTTTTAACAGGTTAAATATTGATTATTAGTAACTCAAACCCCTTTATCTAAACCTCTACATAACCGTCGGTCACGCACAACTGCCATGTTTATAGTTTTTTAACATTTTTTTTAATCATTCGTGTTTGTAGTTCTGAACAGAATCATTCGTCAAAGCGCAATGGATTGTGGGTAATATTAGCCATCAGAGTGTGCACGGATCCACACTTCAAAAATCTACCTAAAATAGTAGACCATACGGGGACTTCTGGCATAGGCTGCTCTTTTCAACATACTATGCTTTGGGACACACTTATTTTAATCTCACATACTATTTAGGATGGATAGTAAAACATTGGGATGCAGGGAAAGTAAGCGATTATGTGTTTATTTATAGTGTGAGCTGCGCAGCAGAAAACAGCGAGATTGTGCGCAGGCAATAGGAAAAATAAAGACAAGGATGTGACAGAAGAGAGCAGAGTTTTGAAACTTTTATGATAGGAGCCCTCATGTTTTGCTTGTATATAGAGTTGTCACAGCCAGAGGGGGGGCACGTGCCCCCTCAGATTTCTGAGCCAAGTGGATTTTGAATGCAGCTTCCAAAAGACAAAAAATAGCCGAATATTCTTTTTTATATTTGATACAATCACACCGGTGTGATTAGAACGTTCAGTGCATCATATCACCAGCTGCTAAATTCAAATCTGCGTTCGCTGGCTGGCGCTGAGCCAGGTACAGACGTGTTTTTACAGCACTGTGCATTATAACTAATCACACACAAATCTGTTGAGTTTATGAATGCAATGGCCAATCAAAGAAGTTCAGATATTAATTTCACAGTGTAAACAGCTTCAGTGATTTTAATGGGAGTTTTTGAAATTGCCTGAACTCTGGCTAGACTGAATGAAAATGTTCTTTGATAATGTAAATGTTCTTTGCTCTCTGTAAAATGAAAGTGTTATAATTAGTAAGTTACAATGTTGTTATTAAATTCACATTAAATACAAAGTCGGTCGTATTAAAAATATTTTGTGGCATGACACCCATATCTGGTACTTAAGTAAAATGTCGGGTTTTTATGTGTAGTTAATAGATTACACTAGTCTACTTTGCCCATCACCATTTATTGATTAAATAACATAATCAATAAAGGTGCAAAACGCATTTACTTGCACATATTTGAGAATCGAGATATTTCCTGATATAGGTAACACGTTTGGAAATATTTCAAATAAAAAGGAATATCAGCCTATATCAGTTATACAGTGCTGTCGTGGCTGCTGTGAATCACATGACAAGCATGACCCCCCACACACACATGCCCCCCAGAGTTAATTTTGACAGCAAATTTTTATTTAGTTTTAGTCATAGTCTTTTGACTAAAATGTCATTTAGTTTTAGTCATATTTTAGTAATCTGAATTGTTTTTAGCTTTAGTCTGTTGGTTTGGCATGCTCATGACAGTGCTTCATAGCATGCGTTTGCATATTCATGTGGATGGAGATTTTTTTTCAAAATGGAAGAAGGAAAAACTACATTTATAAAAATACCCGTGTACGTGTGGACATGGTTTGAGTCACATGTGAGCAAAAAAAAAAAAAATCAGATTTGGGCCACATTTGCCTGCAGTGTAAACGTAGCCACAGTTTCCTTTGTTCTGTTTCCTGCCAGTACTTAGTTACCATAGTTACTGATTAATAATTTCACACCTGTTTGTCTTTGAGTTCATTATCCCTGTGTATTTAGACCCTCCAGTTTGTTCAGTTCTGGTTCTAGTATTGTTTCTATGTTGTGTGGTACAAGCTGTTGCATAGCCTACTTATCATTTGTGGATTACCTGAGTTAGTTTTGTTTAAATAAATACCTTTTTGTTATTTGAACCCTTTTTTCGTCATCCATTTAGTCCAACCATGACACAACTTAGGTTTCTCTGTAAAAAAAAAAAAAAAAAGTAAGGAAAGTAAATTTACTGCTAATTTTCTGCCAGGGCATTATCCGTTAAGTTAATGGACATTTCCTTTAACCTTAAAATACACAACACAATGCAAGATCTAATTAAAAAAAAGGGAAAAATCAATATTGAAAATTATTTCATATCAACACAGTACATTGTGCCCTGTGGCTTTTTGTGTGTGTTGATGTGAAAAAGTTCTCACAAAAGTAGTGCACCCCGTGAAAAATTTTGTGGCAAACTTTGTGTTTCTCGCAAAACTTTTGTGATTGAAGTAATATATTACTATAATACTAAATTTGCTTTTGTGCAATATTTTTGCAAGACAACGTAAATGTTTTGTGAAACATTGAAATGTAATTTTTCCTCCCATCTCATATTATTTTCCATCAGAGTACACACAAACATTTATGATAAGATAATAATATTTGAAATATGTCAACGTTTTGAGAAACTATGACACAAAGTCTTCATGTCTTGTATTTAAAATGTAGAAAAAGGAAATGTCAGGATTTTGGAGAGTGATCTGTCAGTTCAAGAGGGGATGCTTGTCACCTTCCATTGCCAAGCGAGTGGCTGGTATCCGGACCCTTCAGTGTCCTGGGTGGTCAGTGGCACCACTGTGGACAGAGGCGACTACAACACCAGCAGTCTCCAGGACCCCAAAGGCCTTTCCAACTCCACCAGTGTGCTTCAGATAAAAGCAGAGACAAGCAGCACAGTGGAGTGTTGGGCATCTGTGTCTGCCGCTGTAGCCCACCAAAGCAGCAGTGTCAAGCTGACTGTTGGTAAGAGTGATTGGATATTAATGAGCTCATCATGCAAGTAAACTAATAAGCATTACAGATGATTATTTATTAAAAAAAAAATTACCGATCATTAGGACACATTTCTCAATACTTTGGTCACTTTTTCAGTACTCTTCATACAGTGAGCACAACAGCAGTCTAATGTGGGCTAAACTGTAGATAATTTTCCATTGCTTTGATATAAAATACTTTCAGTGAATACAGCTTTCAAAAACATTCATTCTTTTCTCTCTTTGACACAACCACCAATATAATTCTATGTACCAACAAGGCAATTCACACGTTTACAAACTCTTAAACTTAAACTATGTTGTGTCTTAAACACAACATAACATAACATAAACATATCTCGAAACTGAATAAGACAGCAATTTGCTACATTTCTACATATTGAAATATATTCCAAATGTAAAAATAAATAAATAAAATGAAATACAATCAAAACAATTAGATGTAGCTGAACACACTCATATAGAACGTGTACAAAAGAGAACGACTATACAATAGGAATAATTTTGTACCGTAATGTAAACATGTACTGACCATGTAACACAGGGGTGTTCAAACTCGGTCCTGGAGGGCCAATGTCCTGCAGAGTTTAGTTCCAACCCCAATTAAACACACCCGAACCAGTTAATCAGGGTTTTACCAGGCATGCTAGAAACGCCCAGGCAGGTGTGTTGAGGCAAGTTGGAGCTAAACTCTGCCGAACCGAGGACCGAGTTTGGAGAACCCTGAAACCATATACTGAATTTTGTGAGAGCTTGTTTTATAAAGATATTTGACTAAAGGAAATACGTATAATTTTACCTGTTATTTATCTGTTGTCAGTGTTTTTTTTTTATGAATGACAATGTGTGCTTGCTGGGTGAAACATTTGCTAGTGTTATGGAAGAATGACTTGATTTGATTAGTTTTGGTGCATTTTGAATGTGAAATTACTGCTGTGCCAAGCTGTAAGGAAAACTGCATGACTACACTCTAAAAAATGCTGGGTTGTTTCAACCCAACTTTGGGTCAAATATGGACTAACCCAACTTTTGGGTTAAAAATTTAATTAAAAAATTTAACCCAACAGCTGGGTTAGTCCATATTTGACCCAAAGTTGGGTTGAAACAACCCAGCATTTTTTAGAGTGTAGTATTGAGAAATGTGTACTAGCAATTATTATAACAAAATTACAGCTACATTTTTTTAGCTTCACATCATATTACATTCTAAAACATTAAAAGGATGCATAATATATCAATATTAATTTCATAAAAAGCTAAAAAGCTTTTTTTTTAATATATTTTTTGCTTGATTCAATTCAATTTTAATTTAGAGCTACTGTTAGATTATATACACGACAGTCTATATGAAATAAATATCAGTATTGACAGTAGGCTGTAAATGATTTATCCTCATCATAGCTGCAAAAATACTGATTAAATGCATTGGGTCAATTTTTTGCATATAAACGTTGCCATAAATGTACAAATGTGTTTTGCAGTGGCACCGTAAGCACCACAGGACTACACAGTTGTGATCGCTGTGATAGTGTCTGTGTGTACGATCATTCTGCTGGCAGTGCTCATCCTGATCTTGTACTATAGAAAAAAACTGACAAGTAAGGGAATCCATTTTTCATTTCTCTTAAAAGTTCCCTTTAAAACTCTCCTGCAAGTTATTAAACCAATGAAGGGGGAAGTTAAAGCAGTGCTTGCCATAAATTGGACCAACAGCAAGAACACATTGTAGGTTGAGCTGTCAGCAACGAGGCAGTTTAAAGGTTTTACTGCATCACTCACCTGTCTCCTAAAGTGCTTGCACAGCATTTAGGTAAATGTATAATCCGTTTCAGACAGAAAACCTGTTAACAATGTCTTTGTTAACAAGTTCTTTCTTTATTCATTATATGTCAAATCACACATTATCAGTGGTTAAATTAAAGAGATGTTCTAACATCAATGGTAATTAAAACTCTTTACAACTAATTTTTTTTGATTTCGTAACTGTACATGAGGTATTACATATTTGTTAAGAGTACTGACAGATTTGAAAATGGGAATTGTCATCCATTTTATTTCCTTATAAGCCATTTCACACATTTAAAAAAACCTCTGGCATATGTGCAAACGTGTTTCACTGCTAAAACATTCAATGTGAATATTTATATATTTAATAAAATTCAAGAAAATGTTTATAGAATATTATAAGTATATTTTGCAAGGTGCCATAAGAGCCCCTAAGGGAACATAGTGATGGAAAAAAATAAAAGATGGGAGGAAGAATTAAATTTCAATGCTTTTGTGTTTGCTCGCAAAACATTTGCGTTGTCTCGCAGCTATTGGATTCCCCCAAGAAACTTTGCGCTCGCTTTCAAAAGCACTGAAATATAGTTTTTCTTCCCACTGCATATTATTTCCATTCCAAAAGTTATGCAAGAGAACATTTCTTTTTTTTTCACCATTTCACCACGATTTCTAAGACTGTTTAGCATGACATTGAAGAACAACAACACCATATTTTGATCTGTACAATTCCATATATATATATGTATGTATGTATGGAATTGTACAGATCTGTCTATCTATCTATCTATCTATCTATCTATCTATCTACACACACACACACACACAATGCAGCTCTGGAATTTGTTACTGTCTCATATCCTCTTGTTGCACCAGCTACTAATATGTCATCGCTAGTTAAGCTTGCTACCAGATGACTACTGCTGCCTGAGGCTAGAACCAGAAATTTTAAGTTACACGTATGTTTTTCTCTTTACATTTACAGAATCAAGCTCTGAAAATAAATTCAGGTAAGACATTTTTGTGTATACCATACCTGTTTTGAGGCTTTTCTGAATGCACCAACTGGACCTCTGTTAAACATACAACATCCAGAAGAAGGGAAATGATCTATTAGTGACAGAAGTCTTAATCTCTCTGAACATTGCACATTATCTGTTTTCCCAGTTCTAAACCACTAACACTGACAGGCATAAAAAGACAAGATCCAGCTAACAAAAAAAGGTCCCCAGAATGTCCCTCTTTGTCGGAGTTGCAAGGTGTCAGGTCCAGTGTTGGGAAGGTTACTTTGGAAATGTAACAGGTTACAGATTACAAGTTACCCTATTTAAAATGTAACTGTTTCAGTTACGTTATTAAAGTAATGTGACTGATTTCACTTGATTACTTTTTGATTACTTTTCTAAATTTCTATTGTTTTCAAATTGTAATTATTTTGAAACATTTAAAGCAGGCAGGGTTAACGTTACAGTGGTACTCAACACTGATTACTGTCAGACTTTCAGAATCCTTCTTCACTTGAATTAAGATTAGGCCTATAATAATTTAATTGTAAAGCACAACCACCTCAAAATCGGACTTTAGCAGCTCTTTTTACTTTGAGATCCTTTTGAGGTTAAATACAGATTTAAAATCATAAGATATAGTTTAATAACTATGATACTGTTTTTGGAATCAAATCTTTGCATAGCTATGACAGCAAACACTGGCATCTAACAATGCCTTGGAAAAAAAAACTGTTAATCTTAATTTTTTTAAAAATCATATACATAAACCAAAATAGGAAATAAAACAGTTATCAAGCATGTGTCTGTGTCCTCAACTCCTGAAACATTGGTGTCTCATATTTTAAATACTGTATATGTGTGAAAATATTCAGATGTAACTCCCTTTGTAATCATTAACATTTTCATAAGTAACTGTAACAGATTACAGTTACATTTATTTTAATTAAATTACGTAATGTAGTTACATGTAACTAGTTACTCCCCAACACTGGTCAGGTCTGATGATAAAAGCCCATGCATGGGCGACTGGATTTTTCAAGTGTTGTAATGGAAATGGCAGATGAGGGACGAAACAGGGACGTTCGCAAACTGGCTCCGACGAATGTCATCCGAACGTCCGCCAGCGAACGTTAAAAAGCGGACCAAAACCGGACGTCCGCCAGCGAACGTCAAAAAGAGGACCAAATGCGGACGTAAGTGGACGTCCTCAAAACGTCCGCCAGCGAACGTTACACAGCGGACGTACTGCGGACCTAAACGGACGTTCGGAACGTCCGGGGGACGTCCCCTGTTTGCTGGGGCATTTTCCACAAATTCCAAACACTGCTACAAAATTAAATGGAGTATGACATTTTGCTCAGTTCAGCATACTACTATACTACTGTTATTTCTAGTTCATTTATGCAAAAGATAACCTGATATCCATCTTCATTTGCCAAAATGTGGAGTATGCAACAGAACATACACTATGCTATATTGTATCCCACAATACAATGCGCTTGAGTTCACCTTTCATTTTTTCCATCATTTTTTAAAATATTTTTTTTATACAAAATAGGTTCAGAAATGCAAAATAACCATATTGTTTATTGTTGCGTAGTGAATATTATTTTATATACTATTTTGTGTTGTAATCATTATATGATGTATGCTTTACAATATGTAGTAAAGAGTACTCTAGTGTTCCATTTTGGACATAGCCACTGACTCTTACATTGAAAGAATATTAGTAAAAAATATTATTTAACGTCACTAAATCAAACTCTATACATCGGTTCATAACAACAAGTTAAATCAGGTAGAAATAGTTCTTTAAGGGAATAATCACAGATTACCACTTCTTGCAGTGTGGCTTGAGAAAAAGATTAATGTATTGCATTTGCCTTTCCAGCTGCTCCTCGTGGACTGTCAATTTAAGCAGTCGGAGGAGGTCTGTTGCTGATGAAACCAGAGGAAAAGTTAACCCAGGATACCACGCCGAACACGTAACAAGTAATAACATCAAAATACATTGCAGAACAGAACACCCAGTGTAATGATGTGCTAAACAAAAATAAATGGGGGATTATGCCTACTTTATGTAAAATATTTTCACAGAAATAAAACAAGAAAACGCTCCAGTTACTGATGTAACCTCGATTCCATGAGATAAGGGAATGAGCGCTGTGTATGGGGAAACGTCTCCAGGTTACGTATGTAAACATGGTTCCCTGAGGGAACGAGGCGCTGCGTCAAAACGCTATGGGAATACCTTCAGCGTGACCACGCTCTGAATCATGTGTGTAATCAGACCAATGAATGAATGAAGCAAGCACTCGCAGGCAT